TGTTGCGGCTGTCAAAAAAATCTGTACGTATATAATCGATACTAATGGTAAATCCTATCAACATTCCTTCCGTAGTTCTTTTTTTCGCGAGCCGAATAAAGTATATAGTAAATCCTGCGTAAACTGGAATCGCACGATACCTTATTTTATCGGTTTGACAGGTTTCCATTTTGAACAGATTCTTTTAATTAACGTAGAAAACGGCTCCGTTCCGAAAAATCTTTTTCCGTTCCTCTTTATTCGGGTTCCGTTTTGGACGGGTTTTACTGTACACTAGAAATTAAGTACAGTAAATATATTAACTTTCACGTAACCAGAAGAAAAAAATACTTATAAAACCCAGAATCGTACAATTTATTGCTGCACAAATATGGGATTTCCATCTCAATTCAAAATTTAAAATCATTTCGTATAAATAAATTTAGAGAATAGCCCCAAAATCATATATTATCGAATAAAAATGGCAATTTGAATTTATTTACTAAACAAAATTTCAATTTGTGTTAGATTGAAATATTATATCTTTACAGCATTGCAGCGTTATTATTAAAGAGAAACGCAATACAGTTCGACCAAGTTGTAAAATGATCATAAATCAAATTACTGTACAGTAACGCGGGGGATGCGTTCCTAGGCGACAAAGCGCTAATCCACTGTTGCCAAGACCCAGATGCTTACGCCCACGATCTGGTGGAAAAACTCCGTAAAAAACCCATAAAAATATTTTTCCACCCTAAAAAACCCTAATTTTTTGAAATTATAATTTAAAACATCTTTTATTATTCTTTTATGAATTACAAAACTTTTAAAACATTAAAAGAGAACCATTCATTATGAAAATTAAATATCTTGAAAAACATTAATGACATCATTTAATTCTTCGGATACATTTGTAAATTGAGAATTAATGTGGTCATACATTTTTTGATTCAATTTTCTATCATTTTTCTATTATTGGTAATGGTTGAAAATTGGCACAAGTTATTTCATTTCTTAAAAAGTAATACCTAGTTGCTAAAATAGCTTGTGCCAATCTTTTTCTTAATTTTGATTTTATAATTGAATGGATTGAAAAACCCTTCTCAACAGTTACATTATAAGTTGGAAGGCACAAACATTTCAATGCTAAGTGAGCAATATTTCTAAATCTTGGGTTTCCCGCTGAATAAGTGTCCTCGAAAACTTCAATCCAAAAATCAGTTGTTTTGTCACAATTATTCCATACTTTATTTTGAATATTTTGCCATTCAGACACTGTTTCGGTCAAATAAAAAAGTGATGATAATTGGAAGAATTGGTGGCTTTTGTTGTGATGTTGCCACAGTTGACTCAATTGTTCTAGAATTATAAGATTTTCTGGTAAACGTTGTTGAATTTGTGTACGCAACTTTGTAATAAAGGCTCTGCATTGGTATTTAACATCACTATACTCAGATTCAGAAACATTTGAACTAAAAATGTTAAATTCATATCCCCAGTCAACACTGTTGACACGAACTAGGTGATTTTGAAAGTTTAACTTTATGAGATCTTGGTCTCTTACTTTTTCAAAAATAGTTGGTACAATAATTTTTCATAATATTAATTTATAGAGTAAGAATAAATCTTGATATAATTTCAAAGGATCAGCATGATCACTTTGAAATAACTTATTTACATCACAGACTTGTTTTAAAACATTTTTTAAAAATATCACGAACAGTCTGTAAGCATTAACTTTCATAATGTTATACAGCTGCTCTGCAGAAAAACATCTATTTTGTTCCTTTGCTAATCTAAACAATAAAAGTAATTCCTCCCACTGATCTACAATGGTCTTGATAGCTTCGTAGCGAGCAAGCCACCTTGTTCCACTGAGTTTAGATATTTTCTTAGATTTTGAATTTTCATTCGTGGCAGCATACAGACTTTCATATCGAATTTTCCGTGTTGAACTACAGGAAAACCAATTGTGAGCCTCTCGGACAAGATATTCCAACTGTCTTGGTACGGTTTGACACGCTTTTTCTGCACATAGATGAAGTGAATGACAAACACATCTTACTACAACCAAGCTTGGAACATCATCTTTCGACAATGTAGAAAATAACTGATGTCTTCCAATTATGACACTAGCATTGTCAACTCCTATTCCAATTAGGTTCTGTAGATTTAAGCCATCTTGCAACAACTGATTTCTAAATGAATTATAGATGGAATCTGCATCACAATTTTCCAATTAAATGAGGCTATGAAAGATCGTGATGAATTTCTTCTTCATGGTGGAGAAATATTTCACCATCATGCACAAAATCTTGATTGTAGAAATGTCAGTTGATTCATCTATTATTATAGAAAACGTTTATTATTACAGAAAACGTGCAATTTTACTTTCTGTTCCTATTACTGGCTCAAATAGCAATTTTTTACTTGATTTAGCACTTTTCTAATGCAATTTTTTCTCCGTGCTTTCTTGTTTTGGCATGTGCAAGCAAATCTTTTTTTGTGTGCAGTTAAAGTTATTTTACAATAACGACAATAAGCATTCGGTGGATCACCTGTTGGATCAAAAGCTAAACAAGCTAAAAATGAAAATTTTCAAATTAGCACAAATAAATATAAAATATAAATTGCTAATACTTACCTTTTAATTCTTTTGATTTCTCCCATGTTTTGCAGTATGTTTTGTGTATTTCTTTTTGGTGGCCATAATGGTATTGAATAATAGGAAAATTGTTTCTAACCAAAACATAAATTACCCTACAAAAAGTTTCAATTAGTTATTTGAATAACTATAAAATTTGTTTTATTACTTTTAAATATTTCCTGTAGTTTTAACAATTTAACATCAAAGATCAAACTCACAGAAGCTTGTAAAATAACACGTGTTATTGCTGAATGCTGGCATAGACTAATTACCTAGCTTCGCTATACATTACAGCACTATAGACTAATTATCTAGCGAAGCTAGGTATTAGGCTATAATGGTTGACCCCATTTCAAGTGAAGACAACGCCAGCAGTTAATAAATTAAGAAATTCTCAAAGTAAATGCAAAATTTTAAGTTTTAAATGTAATCCCATAAAATTCTCTATAGAAAAAAATTCTCCCTAAATTCACCTCTAAACTCGAAAGTAATCTCTAAATCTTAGGTAAAAAAACCCTAACTTGGTAACACTGCGCTAAACCAAACAGCGTTAAGTAAAATTATTACGTCTAAGCTAGTGAGGACAAGTATTGTATAGAATATTTTACTTGGGATAAAATAAAAGATGTAAAATAATTTTACTACTGACCCGGCAGTGTATACTTTTAATACTGTCACCCGCCGTCATTCGTCACCTCCACAAAAAAGCAAAAAGTAGCTCACCGCAAATTTCAGCTCGGACTCCATCTTCTTGGTGGCTCCTCTCTCGGACACGTGCAAAAAGCCCTCGGAAGCGTACCTTCCGTACTCCCACATTCGGAAGTCAGTGTAAGAACACCGATTGGGGGGAATTTTATTCCCTACCGTCGGGATGGTCTATGGTCTACACGTATGTGGGTGGCGGTTTTATGAGGCAGCAAAAGACAAGTGTTTTACAGAGACAAACCGTTTATTCTTGATCGAAATTTCTTACATATTTTTAGAAAAAGGTCCTTCGATTCAAAACTTGAAGATGTCTTCGGTCCTATCGATTAAATGACTGATGTTTTTCTTTAGTAAAGCTGGAGAGGAGCCCCGGGGCGATGGCGTGTCAAAGTTCGGAAGCGAACAATCACAAGATAGTGGCGATCGGAAGCACCAAGGGNCCTTTTTCTCGGTGCGGACTTACTTTTTTCCGCTCGGGAAGCGCAAGTGTGCGCGAGTTTTTCTACGGCACTTTTCTTTCGTCGGTGAGTTGGTTTTTCTTCTATTTTTAAGTTACTAAGGTGAATGGTGAGGAAACCTTCGTCTTAACTAAACATAATATAATGAAAGCAAAATAAAAGTAAAATAAAAATAAAGCTCAGACTTGGTTCCTTACACCGCCAACGGGCGTCATAGCCACGTCGGCACTCCAAACGGTTGGTGTCACTGTCCAAGAGTGTATGGAAGATGTCGTGTCCGTAGGAACCCGCCTCTGTTTCGCCAACGGGCAATAAATTCGCGTCGGCTTTCTAATTAGTCAGAATATTGTGTGTGTAAATATATTTTCGATGTTTTGATTTTTTCTTATCATTCGGTATTTGTTATTTTTGCGTCACTGATGAGAATAATATTGTGTGAATTTACTTTTCGTGTTATATTAGATTGGTAAATATGTTCAATTGTGTCGTAATAGTATATGTATAATTGTTTCGTATGATTTATCTTGTTTATGTATTTGTGACCCTTTTGCCAAAATGGTATTTTTGATATGACAGCACTTGTGTGTCAAGCTGTCCATCAAAAATGTGTTGTTATTTTTTTGATAAAGTATCAAATATAATTATATTATATATCAAAAATTATATAAAATAAGATAACAATCATACATTGTATATCATTATTTACAGTATTAATTTTATATATTAAATTTAAGACATAAAACTGAATTAGAACTTACCCGAGATTGTGTAATGTCTCGCTTTGATGTTAACTAAATAATAATATTTTTTGTATTCAATGTGTTGGTTTTTATTTAAACTCTTTTCACGTGTGTTATAGATACAATCTATCAATTAAAAATTGAATTATGAATTTAAGTATACCCGTATATTTTAGAATTTTTCAATCAGATTATATAGTCGAATAATTGCCTTAATATTTCTAAACGTAAGACCAGAAAACCCTAAAGGCACCCAGAAAAGATAGCTTTCAATATGTATAAGGAAATATTGACCTACTGAATGAATTATACGCATGCACTTGTTCTTATGGGCTGTCCAGAAGAGAATTAATATATCATCAATATCGCTCTAATAAATTAAATATCCTCGAATAAAACCCTAATCTTAAATATAAATTTGTACTTGCTAAATTTAAAAATTCTAAATGTACAATGGAAATCCAGAATTAAATAATAAAAGAGGAAGAATAGTTGGCTAGTTTCTGGCGATGTCGTTGGAGAATTTCCCGATCGTCGAAAGTGGAGTTGGCAACAATGTACCGAATTTATGGTTTGATGGAATTGTGAAAATAACACATGTGGTAAGTTTGTATTTTGAAGTAAATTTATGCCAGTAACTAGTTTTGGAGGAGTTATGTCCATTCAGTTGCTGATAAAAAGAAATATTAAACTGGGGGAAAGGCTAGAAATTATTTAATTGGTTAAAAAAAACTCAACCGACAAAGACAATATCTGAAAATATTGTAAACTTTCATGAAAAATCATGATTTTATGAATTCCTATAACATCAAAATCAGATGTTAAAATGTTTCCTGAATTATTCAATATTTCCCTGTATATGACAGGAAAATCTTCCTAAGTGGGTATAAAAAAAGGGAGGAGAATATTTTTTGGGTAGTAATGGACATGAATTTTAGGAAATAATAATTGTTTCTTCCTTTCATACATTTTACCTCTACCAAACATTATCATCATCCCATGTCATAAATTTCCTCTCTCTTCTTGGTGCCATATCAGATTCCTGACGTCGGCGACACCTGGCGTAGGTATAAATTTCCTATTTAAGTAAAAACAATCCAAAAGAAATGTGTCCTAGAAACATTACAAGGGATATTATAACAAGAAATAAATTATTTAAAACAATGGAGTTAGAATTTATTAATCTTACTTAATTGTACTATAAGCAAGTACATGAAAATTCAAATTTTGTTTCTTTTCTGACTCATGGAGGACTAATCATTTGTCAACTCTAAAACATTTATTAAAAATGAAGTAGAATTAGAATTAAAAAGGCTAAAAAAACCAAACCAGATTTTTGTAAACAGAAAAACACTTTTTTATTACTAAATTTATAAAACTTTAATAAAATTAGCTCTATTACAAAATAACAGGTTATCTAAACTGATGAAAATAGGAAATATTAATAAAAAGGATCCATTAGAAGAGAAGGTGTGGTTTACAGATTACAATGCACGTGTGGAGTTCCAAGTTTTTACATTGGAGAAACTAAACAGAAGTTAAAGGTCAGGCTATCGGAATATCTCGCTGCAGTACGATTAAAAGTTAATGCTTTCCCAGTTTTTTTACATTATAATGCTAATAATTGTCAAATTAATATTAAGTAAAACTTGTATACAAAGAAACAAATATGAAGACTTAACGAGCATTTTGCAATAGTTCATTCATTCTCATTTCTCATTAATTAATTTTATTAAAATAACATAAGTTACATTTCCTGATTTCGCTGAGCATTATCAGGATTTAAAAACACTAAGTAATTATGACAATGAATACAGCATAAATAATAAACATTAAGAGCAAAATTGTACAATGATGGGAGGGCAACAAGGATATTAAACAATGATAGATACAGAGTAATTACGTACACAGAGTTTAGAGTATACATCAAAGAAGGCTGCCTTTAGAGCCCTCACAGATATTTTTATATAGTGTAATAATCATTAGGAAGCCCGACAGCAAACATCATACATTATAGTTGATTGAATTTATAAAGGGTAATATACAATGTACTCAAAATGAGTTGTAACAGCTGCAACAGAGCATATAAGAACATAAAATATAGTAACTACTAGAAGTATCTAGTATAGAGCAATGGTTACAAGGTAATATATACAGGTGTAATATATATTTATAGAAGTAAAAATTTTATGAAAAAATAAGATAGTGTAAAATATACAGTAACAATTAAAAGTAACGAAGATAAAATAAAATTAGAATCACAACAATTAAGTGCAAGTTAACAAATTATAAAAGAAGCGAACAGCAGAAGTGCAAAGATATCATGGATGATACATATCATATAGAAATGAGTGTATATACAAACTATAATATAATAATAAGACAATATAGTATAAAGAAGTAACAATCATTTGCACCAAAGTACTTATGTTTCGGCCACAAGAAAATCTGCTAGTAGTTGAGCAATGGAAGTTGAACAATGTTCTCAACACCACTGGACTCCACCAAGCATGTGTGCGTAATATTCTGACACAGTAAGATCCACCAGAAGTTGAAGGATTGTCTTCATGCTGCATAATTTATATTCACTAGAAGTTGAAGAAACTTTGTCCACACCCCAATTATTTCAATAGCAAGGAAACCACTGTAAATCAAGAAATTTCAACCACACAGCTATAAACCAGTAATTTTGCAATAGTTATGTAAAGTAACTCTGTAAATCTGAATAATGGCGTGGTGCCAGCAGAATGCTGGGAAAATCTTGTTGGGTATATAAGTATTAATCGCAAAGTGAGAAACTAATAATGGATATTTATCATAGTTGGCAATTTGAATTGTATTATGTATTTAAAATAAGCCCTACTGAGGCCGCCAGTGTGCTTGCGAAATGCATTTGGGGATAAGTGTGAAGTAATAAAAAAGTGTTTTTTTCTATACAAAAACCTGGTTTGGTGTTTTTAGCCTTTTTAATTCTAATACTACTACATTGTTAATAAATGTTTTAGAGTTTACAAATCATTAGTCCTCCATAAGTCAGAAATTTGAATTTTTGTGTACTTGCTTATAATTAAGTAAGATTAAGATTACAAGGGATATATTTACCTAGACCCTTTAAAACTTGCTTCCTGCAATATTATGTGATTGGAAAAATTAGGAATATTATCCTAATGTGAGGGGCTAGCCGGGGATACTGAGTAGTTATTATTCGTAGTATCACTTAATCGGCAACTATTCTTTAGAGTAGCTCTCTGTTTGTCTAAAAGAATGGCTTTTCCTAGATCCAAGGAAAATCAAGGGTGGAGGGCTTTTACTAAATAGGTTAATTCAAGTGGAATTGGATGATTGTGTAATCATCTTTTTCCTCACGTCAGGATTCCCGACATCAGTTAGAAGACGTGGATTAACATGTGTATGACAAAGATAACAAGGTTTTGATTCAGACACTCGAGAGATATTCAGAGATTCAGACACTCGAGAGACATCCAAATCAAACAGCTGAATTCTTTACTTATGTTTCATCTTTTAATTTAATTCTTTTAGTTTAATTTAGTTCATTCAACTGTTTATTAAAAATGCTTTGCATCATCCAGGCTTGGCAGTTGAAGAAAGTGCCTGTTTCATCAGGATTGAAAATGTCATCTGTGCTGTATTTTAATATTGTATCTTGCCTGTAGACCATGCATATGCTACATGCAATAAAACATCAATTTTTTCTCTGCATATAGCTTTTGAAATAATTCCATACTTTTCACAAAATCCTGTAAAAAGGAAGAACTGTTCATGGGACAGTGGCATGCTTGAATATCTTGAAACCAGATGAAAATAACTTTCTACACATCATCAAATTGTGTGTTATGCATTTTCTTTCTGATGGGTCCAACATTGGATCTTTTTAACTTTTATCAATGTTGGATGATCTTTTAAAATCATTGACAGGAAGGGTGATGCCAAACACTCTTGCAACATCTACTTTTTTATTCAGAATCAACTTCTTGTAGGAAAGCAACTTTTCAAACAATGAAAATTGGCTGTATGTTTTCCTCTTTGGCATATTTTATTGTCTGACACAATTAGTTTCACTGACTGATGGACCATAACTACATCATAGTAGAGTATATTACCCATTTGATACTAAAGCAGTGTAAGGATTCATTGAATATAAAACTCATTTGTTCCTCCTCCTTGTAACTTTCTAGTATAATTGCTGACATGCCTCGGAGGATACCGAAGAGCAAGAAACACAAGAAAATTAAATTTGTCGATCCAGATTCCAGGAGAAAAATTGAAAGGTAAAGAAACACTTTTATGAAATTAGCTTTCATTTTTATACGTGCATTAAAATAAAATGTTGGTTCTATTAATACAAGTTGATTTGCTGTTGTTGTGAGAACATTTTTAGAATAGTAGTTACTTTTATGTAATTGTTTAGGTAGATATGAATACACAACATTTATCCAAAAGTAATTCCTACTTGTTATTCGATAAAAGTTACACTCAAACAATTTGTGTATATAAGGTGCATAGTTGTCTTTATACACTGCATTTGTATAAGGACTAAATGTGACGCACAACATATGATACAATAATGAGTATAGCTTGAAGACAAGGAAAATGAGAAATACAGTGGCATGCCGTGACATTTGATGATAGGGAAGCTGTGTTTCTATAAGAAGCCGACTTCCAGGGGCAATCAGTCAGCAATGGTCTAGGGCAGTGGTTCTCAAAGCGGGTGCTGCGAAATTTTTAAATAATTAAATTAAAATTACTTAAAATAATTGAATTAAAGTATTAAATTAAATAAATAATTAAAAGATACCTTTATAATAATAACTTTTGTTTTGAATGCTTTTGTGTTGTTTGGAAATAAATTTACTTTAATAAAAAACTTTTATTTTTTTCAAAGTCTTCTCATCCTTCATATCTTTACTAACCGTAAAAAGCAAAATAATAAATAATAATAATAGGGGTGCCGTGAATTTTGTTTAATAATTTCAAGTGTGCCACCTGACAAAAAAGTTTGAGAAACACTG